CCTATATGACTGGCCACGTACACTGTACGTGACAAGTTATATCAGGCTTTGTAATGCTGGTAACAGCTGATTGTCAGCAGTTACCAGTCATTAAAGAATGTCTCAATATTGAGGCATTCATTAATGAAATAATTAGGCTTTTTGTAAAAGCTTCTTCCTTTCAGTAATGAAAGAATGAAGCCGTTACAAACAAATACAGGACCGCAATTTGCAATCCTGTATTTGACAGCTGAAAATAGCAGAGAGGTAGCAGTGACTCACCTCTCTGGTATTTGTTTTGACAGCTGAGAGCCCGATGTTTAGATACAATGTATATCTTTTGAGTGACATGTATCAGTTCTGATCGTCTGGGCACGATCAAAGAGCTTTAGTGAGATCTGAATCTGACTAAAGTCAGGATCAGTCTCTAAGGTTATTATTAGCTGTCTAATAGCCAAAAAAAATTTAAACATGTAATTTATCAATTTAAAAGTTAATTCATCAAACAGTCATAGTGATTGCTTGATATAAACGGACAAGAGAAAAAAAAAAATTTCAAACAAAGTGTAAAACTATATTGAGAAAATAAAAATTATATATAAATATATTTGTTATACTATAATTAATATAAAAAATTCAAAAAAAATAATAATAATCAAAACTTGTGAAAAAATAGTTTTCTTCTAGTTTTCCTCATTTTTTTTATTTTATTCAAACTAAGTGAGGGGTTAGGTACACATATGTGATATAATTATATAGCCCTATTTGTCCTCTAAAAAACAATATATAATATGTGTGGGTACATTTAGTAAGAAAGTATATTACTGCTGTGGAAGAATCACACAGCAACAATGTAAAAAGCGTGTCAGTCATTTATGAACAGAAACTGAAAACTAGCTCAGTCATGAAAGGATTAATACCCACTCTCCTAAATACATCTATATTTCCATCTAACAAGATTTTACAATCCAACGACCAGCATATTATTCAGGAGAATAAAATTACAATGTGTTGAATACCAAATATACATTTTATGTATACTGCTTTTAGAAGGTGTAATGTGACTTATTAGACTTTGGACTTTGTAACGAAGGCAAGCTTTGTGTCTAACTGAATGGCATCTTCTTATACATTAGTGTAACCACTTTTATGAATGTAATTTCAGTACAGCGGGAATTGTGGAGAAGGTATGAAACTTGAACTATGTGTAGTTCTGTTTTAGAGCCAAACTCACAGAAGTCTATGGTTTAGCTGCACACCAGACTATTTCCTGAGAAGATCCGGCTAGTAGAGGTTTATGATACATCTGCACTCCTTCTTAGCTGGACTGTCTTCTGTCAAATATGCTTCAAGCTGTACTGTGAATTATCAAATGTATCCCCTTCTGTGGCTGCCCACTCTAGATATAAGATTAAAATGTAATTGTTTTTGTGATTTAGTTGTAAATCCTTGGGACAAAGAGGGTGGCATGTGTCCAATGCTACCCCACTATTCTCTTCACATAGCTGTGATTCCTCAGACCTTATTACTGGCACAGTTTAAACACCAACCAAAATATGCTTGAGGTTTTTTTTTGTCTTCCAGTTGCATAAATACATGAAACTAATTTTGAAAATCCATTCAAGATGGCAGATCGAAAGACCTTCTTTGATGAAAATGGTGAATTTTCCTTCCACTACAAAATTGAATAAAGACTAGGAGATTTAAAACCAGTTTTACTGATGTTGGCTTGTACACACCATGGGCTAAAGAGGAAGACCAACTTCACATTAAGTCCGCTAACATAAAATGGAATGACAAAAATAATAAGTTAAATGAGAAGCAAATGTGGCATCCACTTTTGATGACATTGGCTAACAATTTTCACAAGCGATATGTCAAATTTATAGTCAAGCTATGGCAGCTCTTAACATTACCCATAAAATAAACTGCATCATACAGTGAGTGGCCAGATTATTATCACCACCCCATCAGTACTTCGTTGTGCCGCGAGATGACTCCACGAGATGACTTCATTGGGCCGCCTCGTGACACCACAAGATGTTGACAGGTGATGCGAGGAATCTGACACTGCACTGTTGCCCTTCTGTACCAGTCTTGCCACTCTCTTGTACCAGTCTTGCCACTCTCCGTTCTGCCCTAACATTGACTAGTCGCTGACGGCCACAATTCGCACGTCCAGACCCAGATTTTCGGCTGACAGTCCGGTCTTTAAACACTTTAACAACAGCTGCTCTTGAACATTTAACGAATTCTGCTGTTTTGCTGATACTCGCTCCATGGCTCCGAGCGCCAACAATCATCCCACGTTCAAAGGCTGTTACATCGCGTTGTTTCCCCGTATCTTCAGAAAAAAATCACTTCTACTGTCGTGGTAACCAACCTGCTTCCCTATTTATAATGGTCTGGCCCTCTAGCAACTTCAGCGCCAAATTAAAGCTAATTATAGCTAATTTGCCTACAAACAAACGTTGGGTGGTCATAATAAACTGGACACTCAGTGTATATTATATCAGCCTCATCTGCCTACAAGTAACATAAAAAGTAAACCAAAAGAGTTAAATATTTTTAGGGATCATTTTTTCCTCTTTCTCATGTAAGGCCCCATTCACACAATCGATAATACAAAATCACCTGCACCTCATTAGGTGTCCCCAATCAGATGTGTCAGTCTACAACTAATCATATATGATAGGATTACATGCCCTTTGTGGATAGATGTAGAATTTTTCTTGTGCTTAGGGAAGAGAATTTTAGGATAGATTTTTAAAGAATCCTGGAGTTAAACTTTTAAGTGCGTGTAAACCTAAAACAACAAACAATGATGTAGTATATCTCTGCAATACATGAACATTTTCTCTGCAATACATGAACGAGTTTTTGCTCTTTACAGACCCCGCTAATACAGAAAAATATAGTTTGATCTGCCAGAAATGTTTAGCTTAGTTTCCTATTGTGGGCTGATAACACACGGCATCTTTGTAGACTGTGAGGTGAAAGCCCTTCATTTCCAAAGCATAGGCACATAGTGACTTGTAGTCCCGAGATGTAAACTTGGAGGACTATAGGGTCTATAGAGACTGTAGATAACAGAAGTTTGGACAAGACACAGGACGGCTCTGAATCACTGAAAAGATCAATAGATTTTGTTTTGCACTTATTGAACACATATAATTAAACACTTTCATGTTAGCTCTGCTCCCAAGAGAATGTGTTACAAACATTATAATTGATATCTGCATGCACATAATAATTACGATTTCTCAGCCTCAACCACCGTACTATAATAATATGTCACATTTTAAACTCATCATAACAGAGAAAAGCCAAGCAATCGGTAAACATTCTGTTTGTTTTTTTGTACTTGAAATAATCAGGATAACTGATTTTGCAATTGACAAAAAAATCCCAGGGTCAATCTCTGACGTTTCCATAATGATTTTGTAAATCAAGCTGGAGAAAAACTTTTTTTTTTGTAATTAATATAAATGTCTTCTTCTCTTTTCGCTAGGACATATAAGCATTGTTGAGACCATTTTTTACATGCAAGACTTAGGGGGTTATTCACTGTGGATCCGAAGGATACAGACGTAGCTTCAGGTGATCCTTTGGCTCGCTTCGGCCACCTGAGCCCTTTGGTTCAGTTGAACCGAAGGGCTGCTGTACGGGCTATTCACAATAGCCCGTACAGCAGACGAAGGCAGCAGAGTGGCTCAGCCGGGCCGAAGTGACAGCCGAAGCATTGAGAAGAGCCGACTTTTCTCCATGCAAATCACAGCTGGGCGGAGCTGGCTCAGCCCAGTTCTACTGACAGATCAGTGCCCCCAAATGACTTGGGGATGCTGATCTGTCATTAAACAACAACTGGGAGGAGCCAGCCGTGACTTCACAACCAGTTCCGCCCAGTTGTTATTCATTGGCCGGGACCTGCTAAAAGACTCTGGCAGGTGCCGGCCAATAGTAAACAGTTGGGCAGAGCTAGATGTCACCGCTAGCTCCAACCAATTGTTTTTCATTTTTTATTATTCTTTTGTAATCTTTTCTTTAAAATGTTATTTCTTTTTTAATTTTCTTATTTTCATACATTTTTAAAATCATTTTTCCTTTATTTAGTTTTTTCATGTCACATATTTTAAATTTTGCTCGGTACCTAAGAAGGATCTAAAAACCCCTTTTTACCTCAAAAGTAGACAGGTAGTCAAGACTCGTTTTAGTAAACAAAAGGGCATACGACCAGTGAGGGGCTCGGGCGTGTTTGCAGCTCCACATGCCGAGCTCACCAGGAAGCTGACAGCGCCGCAGCGCCAATAACAGGTACTGAGACATTTCTCGATCTCTGCAGCTGCGGACCAGTATAATGTCTCAGTACCTGTGATTGGCGCCGCGGCGCTGTCAACTTCCTGGCGTGCTCGGCACGTGGAGCTGCGAACACGCCCGAGCCCATCACTACTTACGACCTGCTGCATGCCTTGATGAAGGTTTGGTATGGATTTTGGAAGATCCAACAGGTTTTTTTAGTGTATGGGTTCAGTTTAAAATTCATGAATCCATACCAGATCATCGTCAAGGATAAGGGTCTGGTATGGATTTTGAAGGAAAAACCCATGATTTTGGTTTTTTGCAAGGGGTTTCCCCTTAAAATCGATACCAGGCCCTCATAATGGATAAGGATGTGTTATTGATTATGGGGGATGTCACAGACCAACTGCAGAGCTGATCTGTGCTTCACTCCTTTGAGTTTGTTTTTTACCTTTTCCTGCTGTAGGTCTGCTGGCACCTGTGGTTCTACAAGTGTGTGCTCTGCTCTTGCTGCACTGACTTACCAGCTATGGGTGTCGGCCACTTCACCTGATGGTTGATATACCTTCCTTCCTGCTACTTCCTGTCCTGCCTCCTATCTGTCTCTCTGTTTAAAGCCCTCACACCAGCTTCTGGTTGCTTGAGCAACACTTCTTCCTGAGCCCCTTCCGTGCATTCATTCCTAACCTGACTTCCTGTGGACTGATCTCTTGTGTACCGACATGGCTAGTTGTCCTGATTACGTTTGTTTGCTGCCCGCACTGACCTTGGCTCATTATCTGGATCTCCATCCATCTGTGCCGGCACTGCGTCATGTGCATTCGGGTACTCTCCACACTAGCAGGGTGAACCTGGGGGACGTGACCTGGGGTCAGCACGCAGCTATGTCTAAACTTCCATGAGGAGGTCACTGGCAGAACACCGGCTGGTCCTTAGTTTTGATAATATGAAACCCACCTGCACTCCATACAGCATACAGACCTTGGATAAAAGGTTGGTGCTTAAAATGACAACACGGATGGCGCAGTGTCAGAAACAGTCCATAATAGAAGTCACCAGCACTCGATGATGTGTGCAAGAAGTAAAGCACTTTTGCTGGACGTGTGACACACACACGCCTCCTGTGACTCACCTCCCCTCCCGCCTCCTGTTACTATGGACGTGGCCGGGAGGGGAGGTGAGGTGAGTCACAGGACCCGCCCCCTCACTGTGAAACACGTCGGCAGTGCGGGGCCCCGGTGTTCGAACACCGGGACCCTGCACTGCCCCATATTGCAGGACCGGACCGCAGTGAGACTGTGCGGCCCGGTACCAGTCCGCGGACCGGGGGTTGGGGACCACTGGTCTAGGGGGTTGATCTCCAGCCGCACACCCATTAGCACTAACTACCCACTTCTGGTGCCCATAAACTGATGTCCACTTCAATAGTAGAATGCTAAGTAAACAGTTTATTGAACATCTTGCTGGGAGAGAGGGTATAGGGGTTCTAGGTGTCGGGGGGTAACCATCAGAAGCTCCAGACTCGCCGGATCTTGTAAAAGTAGCAATGCAGATACACCCGACCACATCAGATAACCACTGATGTACCAGGCAGTCCAGATGGATGCAGATCCTCAATCCAGGAAAGATACCGACCATGCTCTGAAGCCCACGTAGTTCCAGAGTACTTCAAGAACCTTCACTGGTCCTGGTTCTCTTCCTCTTTCAGTCTCTCAGGCCTCCTCCATGTTGGAAGCCTCATGGAAACCTTTCTCTCACTTCAGCCCATGCCCACCCACAGGCCTGGGCCTAGCCTGAGGGGGGCAGGCTGAACAGTACCCAGCCCTAATCCATGGCTGGTCCCGGCAAGAGAGAGAGTACATGGCAGCTCACACCAATATATGTACTCGGTCCCAGCATGCACCACTGGCTGAGAAAAGCCCAGTGATTGGCTGCTGTACAGTACACACACACACACCATTGGCTGTCCCACAATATGACAGTGTCACACTCCGCCCAGGGGGGTAAGGGGGGATTAACCATGTAATCGCCACTACAAATCCAGCCAGGCTGTCTACAGCTCTGGTCAGCTATCCATGCACTTTGATTATGGGGAATCCCCAACCCTAATTTTACCCAAAAACATGCAAGCCGCCAGGCAAATGCCATTCAGCAGCGTAACTTCTGCTGCAGTACATACTCCGGCTTCACCACTTTGTGTGCTGGTTTAGGATACCCTCCATCATGTTATTTAAAAGGATCTTGTATTTTTAATGTTTCACTTTGAGCTTTATTACACAGGAGCTCCTTGCAATTTCGTTTCCTTTTTCTGGTTAGGTAAATATCCCCCAGGGCAGTGCCCAGTTACCCCCAGCCTTTGTTTAACAATCACTTTCCTATTAGCCGCTAAGACCCATCATAGCCCTGGTTAGACCCCCGCACAGCCTCTTGAGATTCAGCACAGCCCTGGTAAGACCCTTCATAGCCTTGGAGTAACCCTGTATAGCACTGGTGAGACTTATATAGCCTCCTGAGACCCTGCAGAGCCCAGATTAGACACTGCAGAGCCCTGGTGAGACCCCGCTCAGCCCCTAAACCCCACACAACCCTGGCAAGACCCCTCACAGCCTCCTGAGAGCTGACACAGCTTTGGTTAGACCTCGTACAGCACCGGTTAGACCCCTCACAACCCCCTAAGACCTTGCACAGCCTCCTAAGACCCTGCACAGCCCTGGTGAGACCCCACACAGTCTCCTGAGATTCTACTCAGTCCTTGTGAGACCCCGTTCTGCCTTCTTAGACTCCGCCCATCCCTGGTGAGAGCTTGCACAATCTCCTGAGATCTCCCACAGCCTTGGTTAGACCCTGCAAAGGTCTGGTAAGACCCTACACAGCTTCCTGAGACACTGCATAGCCTCCCGAGACACCGCACAGCCCTGATGAGACCCCACACAGCCTCCTGAAGCCCCTCACAACCCCATGAGACCCCTCGAAGCCCTGGTGAGACCTCTACAGTCTTCTGAGACCTCTCAGAGCCATGGTGATACCCCACACAGCTCTAAGTAGGCCCCACACTGCCTTTTGAGACCCAGCACAGCTCTAGTAACACCCGGCAGAGCCTTTTGAGACCTTCCACAGCCTCCTTAGACTCTGCACAGCCTTGGTTACACCCTGCAGAAACCCTGGTGAGAACCCACACAGCCTCCTGAAACCCAATACAGCCCTGGTGAGACCCCGCATAGCCTCCTGAGACCTGGCAAAGCTTTGGTTAGACCCCAGAAAGCACTGGTTAGACCCTCACTGCCTCCTGAGACCCTGTACTGCCCTGGGAAAACCCTGCACAGCCCTGGAGAGACCCCACACAGCCTTCCTAGACACCGCACAGTCCTGTTGAGAACCCACACAACCCTGGTAAAACCTGGCACAGCCTCCTAAGACCCTGCACAGTCTTGGTGAGATCCAACACAGCCTCCTGAGAACACGCACAGCCATAATGAAACCCTAGAAAGCCGTTTGAGACCCTGCACAGCCTCCTCAGACCCTGCACAGGTCTGACGACACCCCTCACACCTTCTTTAGACCAGGCACAGCCTTGGCGAGACCCCATATAGCCCTGGTGAGACCCTGTAGTGCCTTGGTGAGACCCTGCACATCCCAGGTGGGACCCCGCACAGCCCTGTTGAGACCCCGCAGAGCCTTCTTAGACACTGCACAGACCCACACAAGCCTGGTAAAACCCAGCACAGGTTCCTAAGACCCTGCACAGTCCCTGTGAGATCCAACAAAGCCTCCTGAGACCCCGAACAGCCATCATGAAACCCTGAAAAGCCTTTTGAGACCCTGCACATCCCTAGAGACCCTGCACAGCTCTGACGAGACCCCTCACACCTTCTTTAGACCCAGCACAGCCTCCTGGGACCCTGAAAAAGCCATTTGATACCCCGCAGAGCCTCTTGAAACTTCACACTGCCCTGGTGAGACCCCTCACAGCCTCCTAAGAGCTGACACAGCTTTGGTTAGACCTTGAACAGCCCTTGTTAGACCCCGCACAGCCTCCTGAGACCTTGCACAGCCCTGGAGAGACATTGCACAGCCCTGTTGAGACCCTGCACAGCCTCCTGAGACCCCACACAGCTCATGTGAGACCCACACATCCTCCTTAGACTCCGCACAGCCCTGGTAAAACCATGCACAGCCTCCTGAGATCCCCACAGCCCTGGTTAGACCCTGCAAAGCCCTGGTGAGACACTACATAGCCTCCTGTGACCACACTCAGCTTTCTGAGACCCAGCACTGCCCTGATGAGACCCCACACAACCTCCTGAGACCTAGCACAGCTCTGGTGATACACCACACAGCCCTGTTAAGACCCTGAAGATGCTTCCAAGACCCTGCAAAAGCCTTCTGGGACCACGCACAGCCCTGGTTTGACCTTGCACAGCCATGGTGAGACCCTGCATAGCTTTGGTTAGATCCTGCACAGCTTTGGTTAGATCCCGCACAGCCCTGGTTTGTTCCCTCACAGCCTTCTGAGACCTTGCACAGCCCTGGTGACTCCCCACATCCCTTGTGAGACCCCTGCAAAGCTTTGTTGAGACAGCACAGCCTCCTGAGACCCCTCACAGCCATCATGAAACCCTGAAAAGCCGTTTGAGACGCCGCACAGCCCTTGTGAGACCCCACACAACTTACTCAGACCCTGCACAGCTCTGGTGAGGCAACTCACACCCTTTATAGACCCTGCACAGCCTTGGTGAGACACCATATAGCCCTTATGAGGCCCTGCACAGCCCTGGTGAGACCCTGCACAGCCTTCTTAGACACTGCACAGCCCTGGTGAGACCCCACACAGCTTTGGTTAGACCCTGCAAAGCCCTGGTTAGACCCCGCACAGCCTAGTGAGACCATGAAAAGCCTTGCTTACCCCTCACACAAATTCTTAAGACCCCCATAGCCCTGGTGAGACCTTGCACAGCCTCTTGACACCCCGCATAGCCCTTGTAAGAACCCGCACAACCTCCTTAGACCTGCCACAGCCCCGGTGAGACCCCACACAGCCTCCTCAGACACAGCACAACCCTGGTGAGACAACCCTCAAAGCCTTGTAGAGACAGCACAGCCTCCTGAGACCCCTCACAGCCATCATGAAACCCTGAAAAGCTGTTTGAGACCCCGCACAGCCCTTGTGAGACCCCGCACAACTTACTCGGACCCTGCACAGCTCTGGTGAGGCAACTCACACCCTTTATAGACCCTGCACAGCCTTGGTGAGACACCATATAGCCCTTATGAGGCCCTGCACAGCCCTGGTGAGACCCTGCACAGCCTTCTTAGACACTGCACAGCCCTAGTGAGACCCCACACAGCCTCCTCAGACACAGCACAACCCTGGTGAGACAACCCTCAAAGCCTCCTGAGACCCCACACAGTCTTGGTGAGACCCCGTATAGCCCTAGTGAGACCCCACAAAGCCCTGGTGAGACTCAAATAGCCTCCTAAGACCCTGCACAGCCCTGCTGAAACCCTCCACAGCCCTTGAGACCCTGAACAATCCTGGTGAAGTCCTGTACAGCCTCCTGAGACCCCGCACAGCCATCGTGCAACCCTACAATGTTTTATAGACCATGCACAGCCTTGGTGAGACCCTGCACAGCCTTCTGAAACCCCTTAACACCCTGGGGAGACCTCTCACAGCATTTTGAGAGCTGACATTGCTTTAGTCAGACCTCGTACAGCTTTGGTTAGACCCCACACCGCCTCCTGAGTCCTTGCACAGCCCTGGTGAGACTCCGCACAGCACTGTTGAGATCCCACACAGCCCTTGTGAAACTGCACATAGCCTCCTTAGACTCCTCACATGCCTGGGGAGACCATGCACAGCTCTGGTGAGACCCCACACAACCTCCTGTTACCCTGCACAGCCTCCTGAGACCAAGGGCAGCTTCACGAGACCCTGCACCTTCACAATGAGGCAGGAGGAGGAATGAGCACCCAGTGATACTAGAGATGAGGTCAGAAATGTCAGCCAGTTCAGGTGGATCCGACTAAGATCTATGAACGGGACTTCACCGGTTGTTCAGGGTCTCAAGGGGCTGTATGGGGTCTAAGAAGTCTGTACGGGTTTTCACAAGGGCTGTGTGGGGTCTAACCATTACACAGCCCTGGTTAGACCCTGCACAGCCTTCTGAGAGCTAGCACAGCCCTGGTGAGACCCTGCACAAGCTCCTAAAACCCTACACAGACCTTTTGAGACTATGCACAGCCTCCTTTGACTCCACGCAGCCCTGGAAAGAACCTGCAAAGCCTCCCGAGACACTGCAAAGCACTGATTAGACCCTGAACAGCCCTGCTAAGACCCCAAACAGCCTCTTGAGACCCCACACAGCCCTGCTAACACCCAAAACAGCCTCCTGATACCCGCACAACCCTGGGTGCACCCTGCACAGCCCCCTAAGACCAAAAACAGAGTCCCCCCATAGCCCTTGTGAGACCCCTCACAGTCTCTTGAGGCCTTCAGACCTTGTATAGCCCTGATGAGATCCTGCATAGCCCTGGTGTAACCCTGCACAGCCTACTGAGACCCTGAAGAGCCCTGGTTAGACCCAGCACAAATCCCTAAGCACTGGTGAGACCCCGCACAGCCCTTGTAAGAATCTGCACAACCTCCTTAGACCTCACACAGCCTCCTCAGACACCACACAACCTTGGCATGACCCCTCAAAGCCTTCTAAGACCCCACACAGTCTTGGCAATACTCCGTATAGCCCTGGTTAGACCCCACATAGCCCTGTTGAGACCCCGCACAGCCCCGGTGAGACTCAAATACCTTCCTTGGACCACGCGCAGCCCTGGTGGGATCCCGCACAGCCCTAGTGAGACCCCCACAGACTCCTGGAAGAACCCAGCACAGACTTCTTAGACCCCATACAGGCCTGTTTAGACCCTGAGCATCCCTGGTGAAATTCTGCACAGCCTCCTGAGACCCTGCAAAGCCATCATGAAACCCTGAAAAGTTTTTTAGACCTCACACAGCCCTTGTAAGACCCCACACAGCCTCCTGAAACCCTTTACCACCCTGATGAGACCCCTCACAGCCTTCTGAGATCCGGCACAGCTTTGGTGACACGTTGTACAGCTCTGGTTAGACCCTGTACTGCCTCCTGAGATCTTTCCAAGCCCTGGTGAGATCCTGCACAGTCTCCTAAGACCTTACACAGCCCTGGTGAGACCCCACACAGCCATTTGAGACCCCACACAGCTTCCTGAGATCCCTTACAGCCCTGGTTAGACCCCACATAGTCCTGATGAGACTCCACACAGCCTTCAGAGACCTCACACAGCCCTAGTGAGACCTGCACTGTCTCCTGAAACTCCGTACAACCCTGGTTAGACCTTGCACAGCCCTGTTAAGACCCCACACAGCCCTGTTGAGACCTCGCACAGCCCTGTTGAGATCCCATAAAACCCTTTTGAGACTGCACACAGCCTCTTTAGACTCCTCACAGCCCTGGGGAGTCCCTGCCTAGTCTTGGTGAGACCCCACATAGCTCTGGTGATACCCCACACAGCCTCCTGAGACCTTGCACAGACCTGGTGATACCCCAAACAGCCCTGTTTAGACCCACACAGCCTCCTAAGACTGCACGCAGCCCAGATAAGACCCTGCACAGTCTCCTGACACTCAACAAAGCTCTGGTTAGACCCCTAGTAGCCCTGTTGAGACCCCCCACAGCCTCCTGAAACCCCACACAGCCTTCTGGGACCCTGCACAGCTTTGGTTAGACTCCACACAGCCCTGGTTAGACCCTACACAGCCTCCTAAGTGAGACCCAGCACAGGCTCCTGAGAACCTGCACAGTCTCCTGGTACCCCACAGAGCTCTGGTTAGACCCCACACAGCCCTGTTGAGACCCCCCACAGCCTCCTGAAACCCCACACAGCCCTGGTGAGACCCCAAACAGCTCAGGTGATACTCCAAACAGCCTCCTAAAACCGAACACAGCCCTGGTGAGAACTCACACAATCTGCTGGGTCCCCACAAAGCCTGCTAAGACCCAGAACAGCCTCCTGAGACTTTGTACAGCTTCCTGACATCCCACACACGCCCTGGTGAGACCCCCACACAGCCCTAGTGAGACCTCCCACAGACTCCTGAGACCATGCACAGCCCTGGTGAAACACTGTAAAGCCCTATTGAGACCCCTCACAGCCTCCTGGGACCCCACAGTGCCCTTGTGTGACCCCACACAGCCTCCTTAGACTACGCACAGCCCTGATAAGACCTTGCACAGACACCTAAGATCTCCCACAGCCCTGGTTAGACTTTGCAAAGCCCTGGTGAGACCCTACATAGCCTCCATAGACCCCGCACAGCCTACTGACACCATGCACAACCCAGTTGCGACCGCACACAACATCCTGAGACCCCGCACAGCCCTCGTGAGAACCTGTACAGTCTCCTAAGACCTCGCACTGCCCTAATGGTAACCCACAAATCCTTGATTAGACCCCACTCAGCCTCCTGAGACCCCACGCAGCCCTGATAAGACCCAGGAGAGCTTTCTAAAACCCTGCACAGCCTCCTGAGACACCTCACAGCCCTGGTGAGCCTCCACACAGCCCTTTTGAGACCCCACACAGCCTCCTGAAACCACACAGCCCTTTTATGACCCTGCACAACTTCTTTAGACCCTGCACAGCCCTGGTAAGACCCTGCACAGCCCTCTTAGACACAGCATAGCCTCCTGAGTCTCTGCACAGCCCTGATGAGACTCCACACAGCCTCCTGATACCTCGCACAGTCCTGGTGTGACCCCCACCGCCTCCTGAGACCTCTCTCAACCCTGGTGATGCCCTGCACAGCCATAAATAGACCCCACACAGCCTCCTGAAGCGTCTGCATAGTCCTGGCAAGACCCCTCACAGCCTCCTGAGACCCGGCACAGCTTTGGTTAGACCCCACAAAGCCCTGAGTAGACCCCACTTAGCCTCCTGAGACCTTGCACAGACCCGATGTGACCCTTTACAGCCCTGGTGAGTCCCTGGGGAGACCTTGCACAGCCCTGTTGAGATCATGCACAGCCCAAGTTAAATCTGACAGAGCCCAGGTGAGACATTGCAGTCTGTTGAGACTTTGCACAACCTGGGATCCCGAAAAAGCCCTGGAGGCACCCCACACAGCCTTCCAAGACCATGAACAGCCCCTAAATAGCCACCTGAGACTTTGCACAGCCTCCTGACACCCCACACAGCCCGGGTGAGACCCCACACACCCTCCTGAGACCCCTTATAGACTCCTGAGACCCCAGACTGCTTTGGGTAGACCTCATACAGCTCTAGATAGACACTGCACCGCCTCATGAAACCTTGCACAGCTCTGGTGGGACAGTGTACAGCCCTTTTGAGACCCCTCACAGCCTCCTGGGACCCCACACTGCCCTTGTGTGACCCCACACAGCCTCCTTAGACTACGCACAGCCCTGTTAAGACCTTGCACAGCCTCCTTATATCTCCCACAGCCCTGGTGAAACCCTGCAATGCCCTGGTGAGACCCTACACAGCCTCCTTAGACCACGCACAGCTCTGGTGAGAATCCCTACAGTTTACTGAGACCTCGCATTGCCCTGATGATAACCCTAAGACCCTGCACAGCCCTGGTGAGATCCAACACAGCTTCCAGAGATCCCGCATAGCTATCATGAAATCCTAAAAAAAAAACTTTTGAGACCCCACACAGCCTCCTTTTGTGACCCCACACAGCCTGAGCCCACACAGTTTCCTGAAACCACACAGAGCCCTGGTGAGACCCTACACAGCCTCTTGAGAATTTGCAAAGCCCTGGTGAGACCTCACACAGTTTTTGTTAGACCAGGCACAGCCCTGGTTAGACCCTGAGCAGCCTCCTGAGACCTTGCACAGCCCTGGTGAGACCCTGCACAGCCCTAGAGAGACCCTACACCACCTCCTGAAACCCAACAAGGACCTTTTGAGACTCCGCACAGCGTCCTTAGACTCTGCACAGTGTCCTTAGACTCCGCACAGCCCTGGCAAGACCCTGCAAAGCATCCTGAGACCCCGCAAAGCCCTGGTTAGACCCCTCACAGCCCTGGTTAGATCCTGCATAACCCTTCTGAGACCCCAAACAGCCCTGGTGAGATCCCGCACTGCTTTCTGAGACTTCGCACAGCCCTGGTTGCACCCCACACAGCCCCCTAAGAACAGCCTCCTGAGACCCCTTACAGTCTACTGAGCCTCAGAACAGCCTCTTAAGGCCCCACACAGCCCAGGTATGACCCCACAGAGCCTCTTAGACCTGGCACAGCCCAATAGGGAAAACCAGACAGCCTCCTCAGATCTTGTATAGCCCTGGTGAGACCCTGCATAGCCCTTGTGTGACCCCACACAGCCCTACTGAGACCCTGAACAGCCCTGGTTAGACCCCCATACAGCTTCCTAACACCCCCATAACCCTGGTGAGACCTTGCACAGCCTCTTGAGACCCTACATAGCCCTTGTAAGACACCACACAACCTCCTTAGACCTGGCAAAGCCCTGGCGAGACCCCACACATCCTACGGAGATCCTGCACAACCCTGGTGAGACCCCTCGAACCATCCTAAGACCCCACACAGTCTTGGTGAGACCTGCATAGCCCTGTTGAGATCCCACAGAGCCCTGGTAGGACCTAGCACATACTTCTTAGACCCCACACAGCCCTGGGTGAAATCCTGCACAGCCATCATGAAACCCCTTACCACCCTGATGAGACCCCTCGCAGCCTTATAAAAGCCGGCACAGCTTTGGTGAGACCTCATTCAGCTGTACCTTGTACAGCCCTTGTGAGACCCCGCACAGCCTCCTGGGACCCCGCTCAGCCTCTTGAGGCCCCCACAGCCTCCTTAGACACCACACAACCCTGCACAGCTTCCTGAGATCCCTTACAGCCCTGTTTAGACCCTGCATAGCCCTGGTAAGACTCCACAAACCTGCCTGAGTTCCTGCAAATATGCCTGAGACTCCGCACAACCATGGTGAGATCCTGCATAGGCTCCTGAGACCTTGCACAGCCCTGGTGATACCTCAAACAGCCCTGTTTAGACCCCCCCACAGCCGCCTAAGACCGCACGCAGCCCTGGTAAGACACTGCATAGTCTCCTGAAACTATGCACAGCTCTGATTAGACCCTGCACTGCCCTATTGAGACCACAGCCTCCCGAAACCCCACACAGCCCTAGTGAGACCCTGTACAGACTTCTGGGACCCGGCACAGCTATGGTAAGACCCCACACAGCCCAGGTGAGATCCACATAGCCTCCTGAGACCCTGCACAGCCCTGGTGAGTCCCCAAAAAGCACTGCTGAGAACCCACACAGACTTCTTAGACCCTGCACAGCCCTGTTGAAGTCCCGCTCAGCCATCATGAAACCCTAAAATGTTTTTTAGGCCCCGCACAGCCTCCTGAAACCCCTTATCACCCTGGTGATCACCCCTCACGGCCTCCTGAGATCTGGCACTGCTTTGGTGAGACCTCGTACAGCTCTGGTTAGTACAGCCCTGTTGAGATCCTGCACAGCCTCCAGAGATGCCACACAGCACTGTTTAGACCCTGTTAAGCCCTGGTGAGAACCCACATAGCCTTCTGAGACCCCGCACAGCCTTCTGAGACCCAGCTCTGCTTCCCAAGACATCACACAGCTCTGGTGATACTCCACACAGCCCTGGTTATATCCCTCACAGCCTCCTGAGACCGCACACAGCCTCCTCAGACCTCACACAACCCTTGTGAGACCCTGCACAGCCTCCTGAGTTTCCTTACAGCCCTGGTTAGACCCTGCATAACCCTGGTGAGACCCCACACAGCCTCTTGAGACCCTGCACAGCCACCTGAGACCCCACACAGCCTCCTGAAACTCTGCACATCCCTGGTTAGACCCCACACAGCTTTCTGAGACCTGGCACGGCTTTGATTAGACCACGCACAGCCCTGGTTAGACCTCACACAGCCTGCTAAAATCTTGCACAGCCCTGGTGAAACCCTGTACAGACCTGGTGAGTACCAGCATAGCCCTGGCAAGACCCCCCTGTACGAGTATTCACCCAAATACTCTGTATCAGCACCCTAGTAACAACGAACCTAAACCTGATCCCTAGTAATTAACAATGTGTAGGATCCAAGGTGGCCTTAGCATATGGGCAGGGTTGATTCCTTGTTGTTCAATTTAATCTACAAATCATAATTTAAGGAATCCAGTGAGGATTGCTGGATTACAGCCATTTCATCTATTTGTAAGCTTTGGGGCCCTTTTTCTAAAACAAACTTAACTAATAAGAAAGTAAATGGCATGGAAAAAATATATGGGTTTAAGTGGTCTTAAAAACTTTTTGTTATAGGTTAGAGACTTAGCAAGGGGAGAAGTGGTGATGAAGATTAGCAAGTAAAAGCAAGACTGTAGGAAAAGAAAAAAAAAAACACAACCATTACTATTTCCCTAAATATTATTCATGATTTATATAGTGCCACCAGTTTACAATATAAGTTTTACTATATAAAATTCAAAACAAGATGGTTAGGAGGGCTATACCCATGAGAGCTTACTTAGGATAGGTTCACACCAGATGCATTGCGTTCCGGCCCGATTCTGGCCAGAACACGCTGCATCGCATTGCAGCAGGCTCACTTTTTTTGTGGGGCAGGAGGGGGCGTGACGGGCCACTGAAGCGAATGGCACCGTAGCCACACCCTCCGGCTGCAATGCAATCGGCTGCACGGGATAAGGTTATCTGTGAATAGATGGTCAAAACATATGTCAAAACATATGTGAAATCAACAACTATTTAATGCCTGTGTGGCCAACTAGATGAGAAGGAATTTAGAAATGGTACTTTCTATATTCTTCTCTCTACAAGTTAAATTTAAAGTGGCATCTATACTTACCTTTTTGGGGGCTTATGTCATCAAAAATTCTGCATTCTATTTTAAGGAAATAGCCATTGAAAGGTAAGTATAGATGCTCTTCTATTACAGCAGGTGCTTAGTTTATGGGGTCCCTTTTATATAAAACATATGTGCATTGGTATTGTAAAAAGGAACAATCATAGTATCTGGTACTACCTGTGTATATTTGGGATGGACACTTTATTTGACATAGAAATATTTATTAGAAGTTATTTACTTGAGTTTCTTTCATACAAAACTATGTAATGGAGATGTTAAAATAACATTAATAACAGAGGTCTATACTTAACCACTATACTTACTCACCAATAAACCACCTGCACACACAACTAAAAGTGTCTAGAAGATGATGTCACTGTATTCAGAACAATGAGAGATGTATGACACTGAACTGTATAAAAGGAGAGGGAGAGGAGTCAGCTTATTGTATTGTCACTGGGATACACACACCGCAGAGGTCTGTGTCACGTATGGAAGATTAAAGACTTGACTAGAATTGAAGAAGAATCCAGTGATCAGAGCTATGGCCCTATTATATGCCTTCATCATCCAGTTTTATGTGATCCTCCTATGCATGACACCCAGCAGATCAGAAATACAAAGTCCGGCCTGTACTCTAAACTTTACTGATGTATTTGATGAATTCCAATACTTTCAGGATGGAGATGTGATTATTGGAGGGGTGCTCACTGTGAGGTCAAGTGAAAACAATGCAGATACACCAGAAGAGAAGACTTACACGTAGGTAACTTACTTGCCAACAATAGAAAAAGGGATCAGGGTGGCAAAGAAAAACAAATATGACTTTACAAAAACGATTGCAAAAAGTAATGCATGTGATGGAAATATTTCTATAAGAATGTACAGTATGTAATGTTTTCTCCACATTTACCTGCAAACCAAGCTGTCCAGAAAGAATGCCATGGGTCAGGTGAGAGTGACAAGAGTTGTGACAAACTATAACACTGTCGGGGTGTTGGAGAAATTGCAGCAGAATATTTTTTCAAGGATGCTATAAACCAGGTAAATTAAATGTGACCATTGTAAGCAGAGAGATGTATGACACTGAACTATATACAGGGAGGGGGAGAGGAGTCATCTCATTGTACTCTCACTGGGATACACACACTGCAGAGGTCTGTGTCACTTATGGAAGATTAAAGACTTCACTATAATTAAGGAAGAATACAGTGATCAGAGCTGTGGCCCTATTATACACCTTTTTTTAAAGGATGCTATAAACCTTGTAAATGAAATGTGACCATTGTAAGCAGAGAGATGTATCACACTGAGCTGTATAAAAGGAGGGGGAGAGGAGTCAGCTCAGTGTACTGTCACTGGAATACACACACTGCAGAGATTTGTGTCACACATGGAGGATTAAACACTTCACTATAATGTAAGAAGGTTCCAGTGATCAGAGCTATGCTCCTATCATATGTCTTTTGTTAAGGATGCTGTAAACCAGGTAAATTAAATGTGACCATTGTAAGCACTCTGTGGCCGTCTTATAGTTTTGTCCCATCCTCTGTCACTGTCAGTTTTCCTGAACAGCTTGATCTGCATGTAAATGTGAGACAAAATATAAATAAATAATATAAATGAAAACTAACATCTTGTTAGCAAATGCTTCATGGTAACTGTTCTTAAAAAGCTGTTAGATTTGTCTATATTATTGAATAGATTTCCCTTCCTGTTTTATGTGATAAAAGAGCTGATATTATCCATATCACTCTGTCCAGTTTTCTGGTCTGACTTTAGTTGGTCATACACTGGTTGAATTTCAACAACATTTTGCTATCTCAGCAGCAAATTTTCCAGTGTGTGTCCAAATCAGACCCGCCACCATCAGAATACAATAGACTAGCAGGGGGTACAGTGTATGGCCAGTTTAAGGCCCCGTTCACGTGCCCATACCAATCAGATCTGCCTCAGATCCAATACGTTTTTCATGCAGTCCTGATCAGAAGAGATTAGTCTAAGGGCAGGAGAATGTAAACAGACATGTGTCCATTTATATCTGATTACCTCTGCAAGAGGAAGGAAAAAACTGAATGGACATGGCGGTCACAGGCGGGACATCCATTCCATACTGCTCCGATCAGCAGGAGATCAGTACACAGATCCCCTGCTGATCCAAGTGGAGGGGCATGTGAAAGAGGCCTCAGTGTAAAAAGTTTCTCCTTTAATCTATAGGTCTATTGTGAGCACTCAGTTGTCTAATTAGCAAACTCTCCCCCATGCCCTCTCCCTATAGATTAAGGACAACTCATGGTGGAAGACATTCTGCCCAGGGTCAGGCACTTTTGAAAGTGAATCTGTATTTCTCCATCCAGCATTTTCTTTCCCATTCTGCTTCCTATTAATCCCATCATAATATGCTCTCTCTACCTCTCCTTCTCACAAAAATAGATTTTTGATATCTCCAAACTAGTTCCTTCTTAACCAATGACACCACCAAGCTACTAACTCACTCCATTGTTATCTCTTGCTACATTGCCAACCAAATCTAAAAATATCACCCACACCTTCCTCTTTGCTGCTCCTATCACCTCCTGCTCTCTTGCTACCTCATTATTTCCTCCCAGGCTCACCTCCAGGACTTCTCCAGAGCCTATCCCATCTTCAGGAACTCTGTTCCCCAATATCTCTGGGCTATCTCCTATTCTACCTGTTTAAGGTAATCCATGAAAATTCATCTCTTCAGGGAATCCTTTGCCACATCTACCTATTAACTCAAATTTTTCTTATTCCATCAACTCATCCCCTCACAGCTATTATCTTTTGTATCCCCTGCCCCTCCCTATAAAACCTCTTGAGAGAGCAAGTTGTAAGTTTTTTTCAACTAAAACCTGTTTTTAACATGACTTTTTGGACAGTGTATTTTGTTTTCATGCATTTGCTGGGACATTTTTTGTGTTTGTACTGTGGAAAGCCCTAACACGGGGAACCTTACATTAAAAGCTAGTTATACATTGATTTGTGTGGTTGCCATTTTTGTCTTGCTGGTTTTGGTGTGGGGACACACTTCAGCTTCTATTGTGATGTGCCCGGCTTCTGGTGCGTCCCTTTGCTTTTAAGGAGGAATGGGCAACCTCCAGGCATACCTAAACTCAATGTATCCATTGCTATATATGTTTCTATAGATTTTGCAAAAGTTGTGCAGCTAAAGCTCTGTTTTTAACTCAATTTTGTAGACAGCGTCATTTGTCTTTTATTTTGCAGGCTAGCTTGTAAGTGTGCTGGGAATTTTTTTCTTGTTTGCACATGTAGTACTACCCCCTCAAGGGGCGCTGTAATATACGGGTCTTCTGTCCCACACCAGTGATGACTCACCCTCACCTGGATCCAAATGACACCTACACACCATTTAAAACTTTTAAATGGGCTTTATCAAAACTAGCAATAAGCCCTGGAAAGAGATAAACGGGTATAAGGATTGACAATTTTAAATGCAGTGATACAATACAACCGCTTAGCAAAGTAAACAGGATTACTGTTCGTTCACTTTAACCGCCAGTGAGAGGCCTTGCTTGAAATGCAATGAACGAGCGGTGAACGAAACTGTCAATTGCACAACACAGAAATGCTGTTCAACAAATACTAAAGGAAATATGATTGACTATAAGAACCTATTTAGCTCCTGTAAATCCTAGATAACCATTGGCCAGTGGGAATTCTACATACACACACACAGAGTCTGCCAGCGTTGGGGCCCTTTAAATTCTGTGGTTGAGTACTCAGCTTTTTGTAAAGCAATATTTGTAATCTACAGGATGGAAAGGGGGATCTTCACAAAGTGTCACAAGGTAACAAACATTCACAGATGTGGTGATCCACCTTCAAATTGAGCTGCATTGGCACTAAATAGGATCTAGTAGGAATAGGCAAGATCAATTCCCACAAAGATGACAAAAGATCTCTCACCATTAGATGCACTTTATATATCTTCCTTCCAGCAATTGGTAGCTTGAGGGCTGTCTCAGCCAACTGGATGGCGATGGGTGCAACACAGGCCACAGAATCCCCCAAACAGGATGATGATGATGGCTGCAGTACAGAAATCAGTCTCTAGATGTCACTGCACTGTTAGCGCATCGTCAGAGATCGGGTGAAAGGTTAGCATAGCATACTGGGTCTCCCCTCTCAAGCCTGAGCCCCCCTTTAGAAGTCTACACAGGAATCACAGACTCTGGCAGTGCATAGGAGACAGCACAAGGGACACTTTCCCCTGTCTGGCTGCAGCATACCAGTCTGTGTCACTCTCCCTGTGTCTCCCTCTCCATGTCCTCAGTCTGCTCTCCTCGGGTGGTGGGCGGGGCTAAAAACAGCTTGGCAGCCCATCACAGCTCTCCTCCAGTCTCTGTGGGCTATCAGTCTAGCCAGAGAAATGCAGTGCAGTGTTTCAGAGAGCAATACTCTGCATATATTACAAAAGCAATACAATGCCTGTGCTACACATAGTTAACCGAAACACAAGCTTTTCATTCCAGGCAAGCATAACATAAATGGTAAAGGCATCCAGTCATAAAGCAAACTTAAAGTGACATTAAACCCTCAGATTTTTTAACATAAACCAATACTGTAATGTGCGCCTTACTGTAATCCATGGTTGTTTCCCTTCTCTTTGCTGCTCTTCCTTTTAAATCTGTATCTCTTCTTATGCTGGGGGAGAGCTTCCCTTTGCAGCTGAGTGCCTCTTCCTGTAGTGCTGGCTCAGGAACCTACACACAGACACCATGTATCCATTCCAGAGACAAGGCAGTCTGCTGCAAAACAGAAGTTCTCCCCAGCATGAGAAGAGATATGGATTTAAAAGGAAGAGCAGCAAAGAGAAGGGAAACAACCATGGATTACAGTAAGGCGCACATTACAGTATTGTTTTATGTTAAAAAATCTGAGGGTTTAATGTCACTTTAAGCAAACAAAAGCAATCTGTACTGAGTTCCTGTAGAAGCAAAGTCCCTTATGTGCTTGCAAGGAGAATTCTGATTGGAGGAGGGAGCAGATAGGCTCACCAGTTCGATGCTTCTCATTTCACTGACCAATCAGAGGTTGGGGGAACGACAAGACTTGTAAGCAGTAGCGTAACAATCGCCAAAGCGACCCAGGCGGCCGGAAATGGGGCGCAGGCACAGGGAGGCCCGGCCAGGGCATCCCTCTGATGCCGTGCGGGCCGCCCGGGTCGCTATGGCATATCAGTGCGCTGGCTGTCACTTGTGGCTGTGAGGCAGAATGCACCGCTGTTAGATCACTGACAACCTGTCGGTTTCTCTGCTCGCTGTCCCGGACGGTTCCCCCGTTCGCTGTCCCGGTCGGTTCCTCCGCTCGCTGTCCCGGCCGGTTCCTCCCCTTCTTCCCTCGGTCTGGTCGCTACTCCGCTCCGGCCGCTGCTCCTCTGCCCCGCCCCCCTGCCTCCTCTTTATCTGCAGGCGGGGAGCCATACCCAGCCTGCTATTGGATATTGTAAAATGCAATAGCAGGCTGGCTATTGCACCCGCCCACTGCCTGCTGTCAATCAGCATGGGAGGACCTGACAGAGAACTTTCTCCTTCAGGCCCTTCCTCTGCTGTTTGACAGCAGGCAGTGGGCAGATGCAATAGCCAGCCTGCTATTGGCTATTGCAATTTGAAATATCCAATAGCAGGCTGGCTATTGCTCCCAGCATTAAAATTAAAAAATTTAATTAAAAAGACAATAATTTTTTTTAAAAAAGTTAAATAAATAAAAAAGCAAACAAA